TCCTTTTTCTTTCCCCAAGAAAACATGGTGGGTATTTCAAAAGATGACAAGTCATCACTCTATGTCTAGCAGTTGGTGCTGGCTGTGATCCCAGCTGGGGTTGTCGGCCGGAACTCCACGTGGGGCCTCTCCCTGTGGCCTGAGCTTCCTCACAGCTGGGGGGCTGGGGGGTTGAGTTCCAGGGCACATGTCCTGGGAGAGGGTAGCAGTCCAGAGAGCTCCACATTCTTCTCTTCTCCGTCCTGGGAGCCCAGCAGGGCCTCTCTTGCCACGTTCAGTCACGGAGGTCTTCACAGAGGCCTGGCCAGGGTCAAGGGGAGGGAACCCAGGACCCGCTTGTTCCTGCAAGGGGGGCAGGGCCATGGAAGAGCACGTGGTACTGGATTTGATGTCGCTGTTTTCGGTAAAAACAATCTGCACTGAGGCAATTATATCAAGGGATTGAAATTCAAGCACATAGAGGGTCTACCCACAAAATGAGGGAAGTGGGCTACTACTTACTTGTGAAAATTATAGGATTATCTTTCACTTTGTCAAAGAAGTGCTCTCTCTCTCTCTCAACACTGAGCCCTCCCAGTACAGCTCCTGTTCCCTCGCTTTTGACATAGACGTGGGTGAAGACAGACGCTTTCCTCTGCTGTAGGAAACCCAATAATGGATGATGGCCAACTCTTGTCCTTGGTGTCCAGGATGCTGTGACAAGCTGGACGCCCAGGCCCTGGCCAGAGCGTTCAGCCATGACTCAACTCCATCTGGTCATTGTCAGGGTAGAGTAGGGGTTCAGGGTGGCCAGATCTGATCGCTCAAGAAATGCCAGATACTTGGGTATTTTATATGGACTCCTGATTTGTTCATTACTTTGGTTCAATTAAAATCGAGCAAACAGACGCCATTGTAGAAGCCAAGTCAAATGCCACAGTGGGGCGGGTGTGCCCAGCGGGCCCCCGTGCTGCCTCTCCGAGGGTCATTTGGCGGCAGGTGGAGATTATGGGAGATAACGAGGCCGGAACCTAGGGCAAGACTCCCAGGCAGCTCGGCTGCTGTTAGAGGCCCCGCAGCAGCCGTCCTGCACATTCGTGGCGTGAGGCCTAAGGATGTGAGGCCAGACTCCTACAGCTACAGAGGGCAAAACATTCACTGGCAGCAGAGACTCACACGGGCTCTCGGGAGGCTCTTCCTCCCCGACAACCGCGGGCAATGCCTGCTGTGCTGGGGGATGTGAATGCTGGCTGGTGCCGGGACACGTGGGGCTCCACTAAACCCCAGATGACATTTAGGAAACTTTCGGGTATATCCTTCCTCAAGAGAAGTACTAAAGCCTTGGCACATTGCTGTGATGTATTTAATTCAATTTCAGGCTGGACTAAAACAAAAAACAAAAGAAACAGAATCTATTTTTAAAGCTGGATGTCCTTTCTCCACAAAGAGGCTGCAGTAAAATGATATTTAGTAAAAAGGAACAACCCAATAAGTAGTGGTCATTTACTACAACTAAAATTGTGGAGGAAAGCTCTTATTAGCAATATAATTTATTTAGCAATATCACACTAAAATTTTGGCATTAGTATATTCATGGTTATCATAAAGCAGTCCACTGAGGGCTTTGGTGAATGGTTTAAAGTGCACAATACTGAATACTGTGCTTTGGAGGTTTGAAACTTTACCAGAACTACAACATGCATTATAGCATAAGAGAAAATGAAATTGGGGTAACATTATACCAGTTTAGTAAATCATGCTTTAACAAGTCAGGAAAAATCCTTGGCAGGAAAAGGCAGGGCTGAAGAACAAATTGAGAGCCATTCAATTTATAAAACTTTCAATGACTTATCATTCCAAATAGTGGGTGTTCATATGAAAAAACAAGGAAAAGAGGGGGGGAAAGAAAGAAGGTCAAAAACGAGAATTAGTTTGCTACAGTCCTGAGAGGTAACTGCATTCTGATAATCCATATAATTCTTCCACGCATTTAAATGGGTGGAGTTGTTTTTGCACATTTTTAACTATAAAGAATTAGAGAAATTAAAGGGATAATATATTTTCATGTTCGCACGGTGGCATTTCACAAAATAGGTAAAACTGGAGCTAGAAGTTTAAATCCCAAAGCTAATTAATTTGTCCACACAGAGTTTAGCAAAACTCAGTATATCAAGAGGGATCTATAGGGAAAAATCATATTATGTCATCAACAAAAGGAGGGAGTAGAGTTCAATTGCAGGGAGTAGAGTTCGACAGGAGGGAGTAGAGTTCAACAAGAGGCGTGGGCACATTTACTGAAGACGCACCATCAGTGCTGGCTCCCCAAAGCAGAGCTTCTCTACCACCACTGAATTGGCACTGACTCGTGATTGGAGAGAAGCAGACACTTCTCAACCATTCCAGATCATTTGGGACGGAGCATCACCTGCTGGTGGGAGCCCCTTGGCCACCCTGTTCTCCTCGGCAAGTTAACATGGCAGTAGGGGATGCTGGTGGCCTAACCAATATCCTGTCTCCCTTTCTTTCTTAGTAACAGACTCCTGGGACATATACCCAGTTGGAACATTTCCCAACTCATGACCTGAGAGGTCAAGAGAGATAAGCAGGTGTCCTTTGAGGGCAGGGGGAGGGCAACTCGAAAAGTCATTCTGCTCTAGTCTTTTCTCCTTCCTGCTTCTTGCACATGAAATGGCTGGAACCACAGCAGTCACCACAAGGTGCTGAGGATGGAAGCCACATTCCAAGGATGGAAGAACAAAAGACAGAAGGGCCTGGGTTCTTGAGGACACCAGGAAGCCACCTTACCAGAACTGAGGTTGCTTTTCTCCAGATATATATGTATATTTTTTTAAGATGTTGGGGGTAGGAGTTTATTAATTAATTAATTAATTTTTGCTGTGTTGGGTCTTCGTTTCTGTGTGAGAACTTTCTCTAGTGTGGCAAGCGGGGGCCACTCTTCATCGTGCTGCGCAGGCCTCTCACTATCGCGGCCTCTCTTGTTGCGGAGCACAAGGCTCCAGACGCGCAGGCTCAGTAGTTGTGGCTCACAGGCCCAGTTGCTCCGCGGCACGTGGGATCCTCCCAGACCAGGGCTTGAACCCGTGTCCCCTGCATTGGCAGGCAGATTCTCAACCACTGCGCCACCAGGGAAGCCCCAGATACTTTTAAAGAGAGAGAGAAAAAAAAAAAACACTTAAAAAAAAACTGTTTATTTGACTCTAGCTATAAATGGTTAGTTCTAGAATTTGTGAGTTGTGAAGACTTTTAAAGCCATCCAGTGTAACCTCTGCAGCACATGGATGGGAGAGGGCAGGAGGGAAGGAGGAGGCACGGGGAAGGAGACAGGGAGAAAGGGAGGGAGGAGAGAGACAGGCAGCGGCGAAGAACTGGAGCCAGACCACCTGCGCTCAAACCCTAGCCCCTAGTCTGCCACCCTTGTGCGACCTTGGACAAGTTGTCTTGTCTGACCTTTGACCTCAGCCCCACTGCAGCTTGGTTCCCTCACCTGCGAAATGGGGGTGGGAGTGGCAGGGAGCTCAGGGTGTTACCACAAGGGTGACCTCAATGAGCACTGGTGTGGTGCAAGGCCAGTGCTCGACCTAGGTCAGGTGCTCTGACCTCTCCTGCCGGCTGCCCGCTGTACCCGGGGGTCGGACAGTCCCTCTTGGCGGAGGCTCTGACCCTTAGGAGGTAGTTTCTTAGGATGGATGCGCGCTGTAGTCCCATGGCTTCTGATGTCTGTCATTATCTGCTCCCCAGGCCACACTGAATCGAATTCATTTCTACACGAACACTCTCAGCCATCGGACTCTTTGCCCCTCTGGCTAAACATCCGGGGTGACCTCTTATCTCTGGAGGTGCTTCAGCTGGTTCCTTCCCTTACATGTGACACCAAGAAATGCACGTCATGCTGCAGGTGCACTTCTGTCCTGCGATACACTCTGTGACACAACCACATTGTGCCAAGTAACGGGCTCGTGACCTCCATGTCGTCGTCACGAATTTCAGCCTTTGTCAGGATCAGTGCTCTTATTTCTCCAGCTGATTCTGCTTCGCCGGATATGACTATTGCTGCTGCTCGTAACAGCTGTTTGAATTTGCTTGACATCTTTGGCTGGTGCCCCTGGAACTATCTTTTCACTCTTAAACTCTGAGTGTGGTTCGTTTTTTATTCCTCTTGTATTTCGACGTCCATGTAAAAACAGATCCTTGATCTTGTAATGGGGGCAATTTAAAACCATGACACTCGCTGTTACAACTGTTAGGTTTTTTTTCCTTATGCCATTCTGGTTCATACTTTCAAGTGTAAGCATCGTGGCTATTTTCTTTCTTTTCTTGCCTCTGGTTACATGAAGGATGTTTTCTTCCTTTTTATCTTCTCCAGTTTTTGGAAGGTGAATTTATTTAGGCTGCTCAAAAGCATTCTTTAACCTATTTCCTCTAAATATAAGAGTCAAGAATGAAACATTGCCTTTGCGCTTCCCCATTTAAGACACTGCATAGTCCTCCTTGGCCACCTCTCCCCCTATTTTCAAGAACTTGGGTTTTTTTGGTTTCTTTTTTTAAGAACTCGGTTTTGATTAGATTACTTTAGAGTAAGATTCATTATTGCCCATCTTGGATTTATTCTCAGATTTATAAAAATGATTTGGATTACCTTTTGTTTGTGGTGTTGCCATGTGTCCTTTTATACTACTGTGTCCAGTTCTTCTCTGTCTCCGTTATCCAGAGTGCGAATTAAAGACCACGGAAGATCTTCTTTCTCAGGCCTGGCCCATAAAGAACACATTTTGCCATCCTCCAATAGGATACACTTAGGCGAGCATGCGATGACAGAACCGCCCATTTTCTTCAAAATTCTGAGCAGCCAGTTTCATTTTCTTAAACCACTGAAGGCTGGAGAGGTAATTTTTTGCCTTATTTGCCTTGCCTTATTTTTGTTCTTTTTTAGGCAGGGTGGGGGGAGGTAATCTGCTATTTTTCTCTTGAAGTTTGTTCATTGTTTTCCCTATCGTTCTCATAGAACCAAAATTTCATCAGAATGTAACTAGCTGAGAAAATTCTTCCTTGATTTTGCCAAGAATGTGGTCAACTGGATGATGTTTTCAGGTAAGGAAAGTTTTCTTCTAGCATATCTTTATTGTCTCTATTCCATGTATTTGGGCCTCTTCTTTGGGAGAAGCACTGTCCAGGCATGGCCTCCACTTCTAGCATATCTTCCTGTCTCTGGCACCCAGTGTATCCCTTTGCCCTTTGCCTCCACCCTCCAGGGGAGTTTTGTGATTGGTCTCCAGCTGACTTCACCAACTTGTACAGAAGCAGGTCTGTCTCTTGATGGAGATTTAACACCAATCCTTTCTTACTCCCCATCTCCCTTTTCATCTCACCCTGTGGCCTTCTCAGCTCAGCCTCTGCTCTTCAAGTGTCTTTGGCTCCTGTGATGGAGCCATAATGAGGATGATGCACAGTGTCCTGGGGAGAGAGACTAGACAGAGACAGAGGGGCAGAGAGAGGCAGAGAGAGAGAGACAGAGAGAGAGAGAGGGGGAGGATCCTTCTGGAATATTTTCAAAAGTATGTCCTTGCTCTGATTTTTCTAGATGTTGTTCTCTTTTCTCTTTTTCTGTTATCTTTTTGTTCCAGTTGTTTCTTGCTTTGCAACAAGCTCACACCAATACTTAGTGGTTTAAACCACCACTGTTTTATCACCTTTCATGACTTTGTGGCCAGAAGTTTGGGTAGAGCTTGGCTGGGCAATCCTTTTATTCCATGTGTTATCGATAGAGGGCACTTGGTGACATTCAGTGTATGGATGGTCTGGTCTAGAGGGTCCATGATGGCTTCACTCGCATGTCTGGGGCCTTGGCAGGGATGGCTGAGAGCCTGGGCTCGGCTGGAACCCTCAACTGGAGAACCCATGTATGGCATTTCCAGCACGGCGGTCATAGGGTATCTGGAATCCTTATGTGGCAGCTCAGGGCTCCAGGAGCCACTGTTCCCACAGGCAAAGAGAAGCTGCCTAGCCTTTGACTTGGACTTAAATTCATGCCATGTCACTTCCTTTGTAGTCTGCCGGTCAAGGCTGTCACAAGCCTGCCCAGATTCAAGGGGAGGAGATGTTGGCTCTGATGGGAGAAGCCTCAGGGAATCTGAAGTCTTGATTTAAAACGGCCTCTTTTCTTTGGCCTCATGCTGTTATTTTCCCCTTTAATCCACCCCAACACAGGAAGGTCTCTTCATGCTGGGCGCTGCCAAACGACAAGCGGTAGCACCCTGATGCGTGCAGCTCTGTCCACCCTCTGCAGCAGGCTCTCGCCTGGGCCTGCACTGTCCCGATGCCACGTTCTTCTATCTCCCATCTGAGACATAACTCGCCTCCTTGGAGACCACATCCGTTGCTCACCCACACCAAGCTCACCAGAGCTCACACCCCACTTGCCCTCGCCCGGCTGCATGCTCTCACCGCCCCCTGCTGGCTTCCCCCCCCCCCCCGAGCACCACCCCGTGGGAGTCCCAGCCACGGTTTTCTCATGGCCCACACCAACTCATCTGACTTCAGGCTGATACATTTTTATCCCTCCTCTCTCTGAGATGACCCACACCCAGGCGTGGGAGTGGGCATCTCTCCGTCTCTGCTCGATGCTCCATGAGCCAGGGATGGGGCTCGGGGACCCTGGTTATAAGGTCTTGCAGACAGCTTTTCAGAACCGGCATGTGCTCACCAATAAAAATAATCAAATCCATCCGTGGGGTTGGGGAGGGGCTTAGAGGGTACTGGACGTGAGCTAGAAAAACCTTCATCGTCCAAAGCGGAAAGGTCATAGGTAATGTCGGAAGTTGACCGATCAAGGGGAAAACTTCTATAAACACATTGTTTGTAGTTCTGGGAGGTAACCAATGAAGAACGAACAACAGAAATGCCTCAGAATGGCTGACCCTGGTGAGAGGGCTTGGAAGTAGAGACCAGGGCCCCTCACACGCAGCCCTGCAGCACACTGTATCTTGTGCATGGATTTTCTGATTAAAAAAATAAGTGCTATGGATTTGGATATCAAATGTATTGCACGATATTTTAGACTGGCACATGCCATTTACAGGTCAGATTAGAGGTTAAGATTTGTAATTATATTTTATAACAGGTAGTCTTCTTGCTTATTTTCATCATTTTAACTTGTTGGTATTTTTTTAAATCACAAAATTGGGGCAAAACCGTGAGAGTGGCGGAGAAGGGAAACAGGGAAAGAAATTCGAGCCGGAAGCTCCTAGTGAATCCAGCTGCCTTTTTTATATCAGTCTACGTACTTTTAATCTTTATGTCCTTCTGGAAAAATTAAATTGAAACTCTCTTTATCACTTCATTTCGTGTTTCCCATTGTTAAAAGGGCAAGAGCTTAATGTACCACAGACTAAAGCCGCAGGGGCAGCTGGGCACACATGGGCAGACGCCTGAGTCTCTGGACAGCTGGCCGGGGCCTTCCTGTCACATTTTCCCAAGTCCACGGTCGCAGGCAGCAGCTGGAACTCGGAGGGGTAGGTGAGGGGGGACAAAGGGGTGCTTGGTGATTTCTTCTGGTTTCACGTTTGAAAAAGAGGAGTACTTAAGTAACCAGTTTATTTTTCTCCTTTATCCAGAAAAAAAAAAAATCCTTTCCTACACTTTGAGAATTGGATTGCTTTAAAAGAAGAAGAAGGAAAAGGAGAAGAGGAAGAAGGGGAGGAGGAAGGGGAAGAAAGAAAAGAAATCACTCAGGCGCTGATCCAAGCTGGGTCCTCAGGTGGTCCCCTCACTAGCGGCCTTGGCCTTACCCAGAAACGTGTTAGAACCGAGGTATCTCAGCCACAGCCCCCCACCCCCCACCCCCTGCTCAGCATCTACATTTTAACGAGATGCACAGGGGATGTGTGTGCACATGGCAGTTTGAGAAGTGCTGCTCTAAGGTACAGATGAGGTTCTAGGTCGAGAAAGTTCAAGTCTGTGTTTCTCCACCTTAGCTTAGAATCACCTGGGAGCTTCAAAAAAATACTGATGACTGGACCCCACTCATCCCCAGAATAATTAAAACAGAGCCTCTGGGGGCGGGGCCCTGGCCTGGGTTTATTTCAAAAGTGCCCCAGGTGCTCTCAGTGGGTAGCCCAGGCTCAGCGCTGGAAGTCAGTGATGCGCGCAGTTGCTGGGCTGTCTATCCCCACCAGGCCGGCCACCCGTGGCTCATCTGTGGGAAGCAGGCCTGAGCACATCCCCAAGGTGGCCTAGGACAGGAGCAGAAAAACATGACCAGTGCCTGGGGTGGAGAGTGGATAACTCCCTACAAACCCAGCTTGGAGGCCTATCCAGTCCCTGAGAGAAAATGTAATGAAAGGACTCCATCATCTAAATCTCTTTTCATCAAAGAGATGCCCTATTTCTGTGGCATTTCTGCATGAAATGCTCCAGCGTTGCAAAGCAAGAATGTTCAAATTCGCTTCTGTCGGACGTTGAATAGGTCACATCCTGCAACACTTCCCTGGAATGTGGCTTGAGAATTTAATCGAGTTGGAAAGCACGGTCACCAGGTAAGCAACCAGACACACTTCCTAGCTTTGTAACCGAGAGACAAAATAAAATAAGGCTGACAGAAGGTGCGCATGTTTGAAATACTTTCTCGCAAGCCCATCACCACCGCCAAATGTTAGCCTCTTGAAGCATAAATTAATTTTCCACAGACGCACGCCGGGCTGCGCCTGGATTCTGCTCTGGTGAGCAGTACGTGTTAGACTTCTGGACAACAGCTTCAAGGATGACATTTCTCCAACTTGCTGTGATTCTTATCCTTGAGCAGAATGTTTTTCTTGGAATGGGTTTCCAGGAGGGTTTTGGACCCAGTTCCGGTCACATGTGCAGGTGGGAGGCACGCTCTTGACCCTGAGACGTGGGCCTGGTCAGCATGTGACCCCTGCCATCCCCGAGGGCTCACCTGGTACTGCTGCCCGGTGCAGAGGACAAGGTGGTCGTAGAGCACGACTTCTTCTCTGGAAACAATGACCTGCTTAGCTGCTCGGTCTATGGCAGTCATTTTACCAACCACCACGTTGACCCAGGAGCACAGCGACATCAACGCGTGATCTTTGTCATTATAACAGTGGCTGCGGAGAGAGAGGCTCCATCAGTGACATTTGAGCAGCTGACAGCGGGCATTAATTAGACATCTGCTGAGCTGGTTCAAGTCCCCTGGTTGGCCGAGCCTGTGCTCTTGCTGGGAGTTTACCGGGACCCAGGCTAGCCAGGAGATTTGTCCTTATGAGACACTTAGCTGCAAATTGACATCTTCCCATTAAAGCTAAATTGTTCTGCCTGGAGTAGACCAGTCCACAACAGGGAGGGGGTGTGTGTGTGTGTGTGTGCGTGTAATCATTCATATATACTCTTGCTTCCATTTCATAGCGGGTGTAAATTTACCTTAGCGGTTGATCTGTCATATTGACAACTGTCATATTGACCACAGACTCAGAGCGAATGAGCATGAAGAAAGTGACATCTGAGGATTCCCACAGGCAGGGGTCAAGGTCCAGAACATCAAGAACCCTGTCTATTTGCTAAGGCTTTTCAATAAATGATTCATTCTTAGAATTAGTGTATGGATTCATGCCAAAACAACAAAACGCATTTTATTTAGAGAAAATGTCCATTAGGGAATTATGTTTGCATCCAGTACAATCCCTGGGGACTCTGGGGGCGGGGTCACTTCTCAGGGTAAAGGTGATTTACGGGGACTGCTGCTTCCATAAGAGCAGGCCCAGGGTAGACAGGTTTTGTTCTCTGGGTTCTATTCGAGGGTGAACACAATACTGTAATGGGAGAAAAGTGGGTTTCCTGTGGCTTTGGGTTTATTTAGAGTTCTGTGAGGGTTGTTTCCAGAATTTTCTGGAAGGTTTGACCTCATGTACATGACGTTTTAATAACCCTGTTCTGAAGACGCAGAGTGTAGGGCAGCAGAACAGTGAGAGTCTGTTTAAATCTAGGCTTCCCCGTGCCAGGATCTGTGTCCCCGCTCTGTCGCCAATGCAAATGGACCCTGGGGACTCTGCATCCCTTTTTAGAACTTCAGTTTCCTCACCTCTCAGCAGGAGATAACGACCCCTCCTCACATGCCTCGAGCATTGCGAGGGATGGACACAAGAATGTAAGAGATGCTGTCTGTCAAGTGGGATGCATATGTGAAGGGTATTATTCCAAATAATATTAATGGTACACAATCCTGTTTACTCTCCTGGGAGGCAAACAGGATTCTGAAGTGGTAATGGGAGAACAGTTTTTCTTTTTGATTCACGCATGAGTCTGCTCTCACCACACAAAAAGAATCCTGGTGATGGATGCACATTAGACCCTGTTATAGGGCCTGTGAAAGAGAACGGAGTCTGGGCTTTGTATCTCTCCACACAATGACACTTAAAAACAAGAAAATTTCTTCTTAATAAGAAAAGAAAATCGGGGGCTGGTCTGCCACAGGGAAATAACAGATAGTGAGATGAAATTCTCTTATAAAAAGCCATTTTGGTAGCTTTACAGGAAAACAGGAGGCTTCGCTGATTTCATACATCTGTGAGAGACCCACGAGGGATTGTTCTTACTTGGGATGTGATCCATTCCTAACAGAAGCAGTACTGTCAGCCGTCCAAGATGAGGAAAAATTAAATATAGTTAATGCACAGAGATTCGTCATATGAGGATTTGCTCGAAGATGAAAGTTCCCAGGGGAAATTTGGGGAAGGCTAAGACAATGTTATTTCTAATGACAGTAGGCCAGCGGTGTTGATAATTTCAGAATGCATACTTCAGAGATAAAATCTGAAGCTCTGTCCAGTGGGAACTGGCCCTCGGGAACGCTGGGGTTGCAGGGACCTTAGGAAGCACTGAAAAATGTGGGGTGCTTGCTTTTACAGCCTGTGACCACATGGAATGACATTTCTCAGTTTCGAAACTGAGAAATTTACACTGCGTGTAGCTGATGCCTATCTGTTTCGGATATTAGAATACATGCTGGACCTTCTTTAATTTACCCATGAGGCAGTGAGACTAGATATTGGAGACTGTAAATGGTATTTCTCCAAAATTATTTCCTAAGCAGAGTTAATGAGCATTAAGATTCCCACAGGGCAGGGGCCATCTCCAGGCTTGAGGACAAGAGAAATATCTCCACTAGAGTCCTCTGGAAGAGAGAGAAGGAACCAAAGAAGGTAGGTCAATGAAACTTCGTGTTTCTCAAGTGACCTTGACTCTGACGCAAAAATAATGTGGAAGCTTGTCTTCACAGAACATTCTGGAGACAGGTAATAAGGAGGAGAAAAAAAGTAGAAATGCAGGATGGGGGAATTGCTGGAACAGGACATATGTGGAGAGTGGCCAGCTTGCTCAAAGTTGCAGTGACCCCAAATCTAGTGATGGGAAGACTTAGCCTAAAGTTCCAGGTACAAAATTAAGAGCAAACTCCAGAGGAATAAACGTAAGTGTGGTGAGGACCTGCACTTCATGCAATCAGAACCCTGCAGGACCGGAAAGAACCTCAGAGGTTTCCAGCAAGGGTTTATCGTGAGGCTCCCAGAAGAAGGAACATCATAATTAACCTTCAGTTATTCACAGCTGATTGTCCAATTAGTGGATTTCTCCCACTGCCGGTTCCTCCTCTCCTCCCTCTGCCCTCCTTTCTGCTGCATCCCGGGCACATCATTAGCACGTCCACCAGAGGCTGGACAGGGCGGGGTTTGGGCAGGGGAGGTGGGGAGACAAAACATGGCTTTTCAAAAACTAGTAACAGCAATAATAAATCAAAACACTGGTTACGGAAAAGTTCAGAATTTGTATTTGGCGTGAGGAATTTGAATCATTAAATTTTTGGATATCAATGCACTTGTTCTTTCTAAACTCCATGACCAGACACAATTTCCTGTATTGGGGTCTGAGGAACATTTGAAAGGCAACATCCTGTTGATGTTTCAATTTGTGGTTTCTAAGAGGATAACATGCAGGTACCCATCCAGAGACATCTTATATGGCTGTGTTATTTAGTCCCTGTCTACACCCTGATGGAGAGGACTTCTTCAGGTACTTTCGGAGGTAACTGTCATCGATTTGACATTATTTACTGAGCACCTGCTAAGTGCCAAGCACTGTCCCAGATGCTGGGAACCCATGAGTGAACAAAAGGCAAAAATTTCCTGCCCTTGTGGAGTTTACATCATAGTTGAAGGATTCAGAATAAACAATTTAAAAAGGCAAACTGTATAATATTTACAAGGATTTCAGTAGCAAGAAAGAGAGCAGAGAAGGAGGATAGAGTGTTGGAGAGTTTGCTGCGGACGACTGGATGGTCAGAGTAGGTCTCATGGAAAAGCTGACATTTCAGCAAAGACCTGAAGAGAGAAAAGCAAAGACCCCCAAGGTGAGGACTTGCCTGTTGTGTTCGAGGGACATCAAGTAGGCTGGTGTGGTGACAGCAGAGAGAACAAGGGCAAAAACAGTAAAAGAGGGGGTCGGAGGAGCCAGCAGAACAGGGGCAGATTTCAGATCAGAGCATCTGGAAATTTCTGTGACTACAGAACCCTTCTGCAGCTGGGCTGTCTGATAGGGCTGCGAGCCACACGTGGCTAGCCTCCCACTTCAAATGTGGCTCATGTAATCAACGAGCTGAATTTTGATCCCGTTTAACTGTAATTAATTGAAATTTAAGCAGCCACATGTGGCTCACTGCCGCCACACTGGACAGAGAAGCTCCAGGCCGCTCGGGAGTTGACAGGATCTGATTCACGTTTCTGCAGCCTTGCTCTGGCTACTGGGTTGGGAGTGTGGAGGGGGAAGGACAGAGGCAGAGACCCCAGGTGACCATGCACCCAGCCACACGCAGGTCCCCACAGAATCAGGCCAGCAGAGCATCACTTGCTAGCCTGTCTCTCCTGGAACACACCTGACCTGGACTGACAGAACCTTTGCCAGGCCGACTGAATGAAATTCCTCATGAGACATTTATCAGGAACACCAGCATTTCCTGGGAATCATGTCATGTGGAAAGAAGGGAAAGTGAGGGAAGGGGGTGTACGTGGGCTGATCCTCCATGCTCAGCCAGAACTTGGTGTTAGGCTAATTTTAACCAAAAACTCCATCAAGGCTTGCTTATCATACACATTTCCAGTCAAAACCCCCAAAGCTCAGAGAGATGAAATCCCCTTTGTGGTGGCAGCAGGATCTGAATTCATCGACCTGGCTCAAAACCCACGTCTTGGGGCTTCCCTGGTGGCGCAGTCGTTAAGAATCTGCCTGCCAATGCAGGGGACACGGGTTCAAGCCCTGGTCTGGGAGGATCCCACATGCCGCGGAGCAACTAGGCCCGTGAGCCACAACTACTGAGCCTGTGCGTCTGGAGCCTGTGCTCCGCAACAAGAGAGGCAGCGATAGTGAGAGGCCCGCGCACCGCGATGAAGAGTGGCCCCCGCTCGCCGCAACTGGAGAAAGCCCTCGCACAGAAACGAAGACCCAACACAGCCAAAAATAAATAAATAAATAAATTTTTTAAAAAAAAGAAAAAACCACATCTTTTTGACTGCACCCTAATGATGTCCTTCCCCAAACCTCAAAGTTTATAGTCTGATCAAAGTATTAGGTCAAAATGAGCCTAGTTCTGCTGGCAAGGAGACTGCCGTTTTTCTCACAGTTTGAAGGCAAAGTCAGCCTTTTTCACAGAGGAAAGAGGGTCCTTCCTTGTGGATCTAAAATGAACCCCCCCCTCTCTGAGAGAGAGAACAATTTCCTCCCTCCTTGTTGGAAAAATTGGGACATTGTTTCTAGAGGCAGGGAGCCTAATCATTCTTGTACTCATGCTTTGCTACAGGAAATTAAAATGAATGGAAGCTGTGTGATAATGAAGTGGCATTTTCTAGAAGGGGTGTTGTCAAAGACTGATTCTACTGGGACAGATACAATGACAGACTCAGAGGACTCAGAAGACCTCTGTCTCACCAGCCCTGATGACAAAGGGCCAGGTGGGCCTGAGACCCTCACCCCACGGAGGGGCCCAGACTTTAGCTCCCTCCGGCAAGTTGCCTGGTCTGATGCAAATATAGTCACCAAGCTCCCATGCCCTGGAGTGTCACTCAGAACCCAAAAGCAGGTGGTGTCTGGGTCACAGACCCGTCCCAGTTGTTTGGAACAGGGCCGGCATCCTCCCAGACCTGCTATTCACTCTTAACCTGGATTTGTATCTCTTAAGGAACATCTGAACTCAGGCCTGCCACTTCCCTTTTCTACCATTTAGCAGAAAAAGGACTGTACACAAATTAGGACATTCAGCCTTCAGAATGAAAAAGCAGGGGAGGGATAAATTAGGAGACTGGGATTAACATACACACACTACTATATATTAAATAGATAATCAACAAGGACCTACTACTATATAGGACTGGGAACTCTACTCAATATTCTGTAATAACCTATATGGGAAAAGAATCTGAAAAAGAGGAGATACATGTATATGTATAACTGAGTCAGTTTGCTGTACACCTGAAACTAACACAACATTGTAAATCAACTATACTCCAATATAAAATAAAATTAAAAAAAAGAAAATAGAATACATACTCGCTTGCTAAAAACCTCC